TGCCGGCAGGGGAGAGCGCGGAGGGGCTCGCAGCGGCCCCCGGCCCCGCCGCGGCACCAGAGGAGGTGCAGGAGGGCCAAGGACTTTCTCTGCGGGCCTCTTCTCTCACGACGGGGTTGTTTCCTGTTCTCAAAGGTCCCGCTCCCGGCCAAGGCTGCCTCGAGTTGTCTTTGCCTGCAGCCTGAAGACCTTCAGCAGACGTGTGTGTAGAAGCCCCAGGTGCAGGCGGCCAGCTGTGTACACCTCCTCCTAACGAGCCTGAGGAGAAGAGGAAAAGTGGGGCTGGCAGTCTGTTGGCCAGTGGTCCTGCCCTGAAGCCATTCCCATCTGAAGGGAGGTGGGGCTGTGATAAGTGGTATATTGTTTTGTTCACCAAACTTGATGAGACAATTGCCTTTTGTGGTATAAGCTAAGGAAACTGGCTATGAGAGTTTGGACTTTGCCTAAGGTAATGAAATATGATAACTCAGAATATTTGTAAAGGAATTTACAAATTTTAGAGAAATGGGGGAAATGAAGGGGTTAAATCCCTGACAATCCCTGACTAAAACCTTGCTGTGATTTTTCTTAGCTTCACTTGCATAGTTTTAGTGATTTAGTAGAGACATGTAAATTCTTACCTGACCAGAATTTACAGGCCTTGAGCTAGCTCATTAGGCCTCCGGTGTAAATCACTGATAATAGGAACTCAGGACGACTGTGTCAAGGTAAGTGTTAAAAAACTAGTTAAACTGACCCCCTTGTAATATTCCAGAGTCAAAGGACTGGTAAGCTAATTCAGTGACTATATATGGACAAAGGAAGCCCAAAGTTCAACCAGAGGACAGAGCGAGGAAGACTATGAATGACCACCGGAGGGTGAAAAGACCCTAACCCTAATTTTACTGCGCATGCGTGGGAGCTCATCACCATAAGACTACCCTTTCCAGGAAATCTGATGAATTTGTATGGTTTTTCTGTACAATAAGACTATCCCTTCCAGGAAATCTGATGAATATGTATGATTTTTCTGTACATAACCTGATGTGCTTTGTCAACCCGTGTGTGCCGTCGGTGGAGCAGAGGCTCCCGGGCCACCCAGCGCTGTTTTGCTTATTGCCATTTCTTGCCAATGAATAAATCGATCATACACTCAAACCGGTCTCACCGTGATTTGTGAGAGTTACACATAACAGGGCGCTTCTGAGATGTGCACCCAGGTGGAGGCATGGGTTTCTGTGCTGCCTCGGAGAGACGCAGGGGCTTTGTCACACTCCATTTCTCTCCTTTGTTTCACTCGGGACCAAAAATGATGCCTTGTGGTGACAGGTTGAAGTAGGAGGTTGTGGATGGCAGCCCCCATGGCCCAGCCTCATTGAGTTCAGAGGGTCTGAAAGAGCAGTCAGCAGCCTGCACTTTCACGTGCTTAATAAATTATTTTTATCGGGGATTTTGGGCAGGGGGAGATGCTGTGCCACCAGGCAAATCTCTTGCTCTGGCATTGGTGTAACCATACTGACACCAGAAGTTTGAATTCCTGTCTGCTGGGAAGGGAGTCTTGGAGCACTGTGCCCACAGCCAGCCTGGCACACAGGGCAGTTTGGCTGGCAAATCTGAGCTGTGCAACAGGCGTCAGCACACCGGTGATGTGCTTGGAGCTGGAGGGGTCGCTGTGCCTGGGAATCCCAGGCCAGAAGGTGCTGCTGCTCCCCTGTGGAGGAGGACATTGGGTTTTAGAAATGCAGAACAGGGATTTCATCTTTTTGTCAAAGCAGCTTTATGAACGTGCTCTGCTGTGTGAACAGCCAGTGCTGGCCTTTTCCCTGCTGACTCAAGCTGACGGCAGCTCAGCTCGCATGCTGCTGAGGCAGCAGCTATGCTCAGGATAGCCTCTTTGCCCTGCCTGCAGAAGCTGGAGGGGAACTCTTGCCAAGACAAGCCAGCAGATCTCCCCCACTCTCCTCAACGCTGCTGGTGTCAGGCCTCTTGTTTTTTGCCCGAGGAGAGCTCAGGCTGCCATTTCTACTGAGGACACAGCTCAGGCTCCCATTTCTAGCCCCTGTAGCAATTCTAGCTTGCTGTAGCAATCCTCCTTCTCCCCCGCCACTGCTACTTTGTCAGACCATCCCGTTCACCATCACACTGCATCTCTTTGGGAACTGGAGCAATTGTGGTGCTTTTTGCATACAATCAGAAGAGAAGAGAAGAGAATCTTTTCAGTTGGAAGGGACCTACAATGATCATCTAGTCCAACTGTCTGACCACTTCAGGGCTGACCAAAATTTAAAGCATGGTATTAAGGGCATTGTCCAAATGCCTCTTAAACACTAACAGGCATGGGACGCTGACCACCTCTCTAGGAAGCCTGCTCCAGTGTTTGACCGCCCTCTTGGTAAAGAAATGCTTCCTAATGTCCAGTCTGAACCTTCTCT